AGTTTCTTTTTTTTTTTGCTAAATAAACACATTGTTGTTCAAGTTTTTTTAATCTCTTATGCTCACCAAATCTGCATTTATTTGATCAAAAATACAGTAAAACTGTAAAATATCATTACAATTAAAAAAAAAACCGCTTTTCTATTTTAATTATGCATGGCAAATCTGTATTTTTAAAAGCCATTCCTCCAGTCTTCAGTGTCACACGACCCTTCAGAAATCATTCTAATATGCTGATCAGTGCTGACAGTACTGTTTAATATTTTTAAACAGTTCAAAAGAAGTTCAAAAGAACAGCATTTATTTGAAATAGAAATCATTGGTAACACTAAAAATGCATTTACTGTGACTTTTTATCAATTTAATACATCCTTGCTAAATAAAAAAATAAAAAGCTAATCCCATATATAAAGCACACACAAAAAGTATGGCGAAGTGTCTAATACATCTGTTTTCAAAGTAGCACAGGGGTCTTTTTTGATGAGCAATGGCATTTCTCAGACAAGAGCCCTGTTTTTGGTTAACAACATCTGCTGGCTGCCATTTGGAGAGAGCGGGAAGGCTGGAGATAACCAGCAGGCCTGAGATGAGAATCAGTATGGCCATTTACTCCTGATGACAGACTCAGGTTGAGGGTTGGGCTAGAGGAAGGTTCACACAGGTTGAGGGAGGGCAGGCTTCCTGACTTTTCACGGAGGAGAAAAACAAGGCTGTGGCTGGGCAGACCGAAATGACCTTTAGCTGGTGGGAGTTTTGGGAGAAACTGGGTGTATTGGTGTAAACTCCCACCCAAGCGCTGTCAGACAATAACATACTCAGACACACACCCGCACCTTCCTTCAGCACCTGGGCTCCAAAACCAACCCCAATTAGGCGCTCACCTTTGCGCTATCAAGACACGCCATCTCATTAGAGCAGCCAGCTGCCCGAGCCAGAGGCCGACTCCTGCAGCCATCACACCACAAAGGTCATCTCTCGCTCTCTCTCACACACACACACACTGCACTCTGAAGGCTGTCTGTGTACGTGTGTATGTGTGCATGATCAAGTCATCTGGCAGCTTACAGGAATACACCCTTCATAACCGTTCATTTTCAATGCAAAACAACAAAGTTCTCAGTTTCAGATTGTTTAGATGAAGTCTGTAGAGGACAATGCTTTAAAGAAAACCCCATCTGAAACGTACAAAAAACTATACTAGGCTTATTGTAGGTGCTGACAGGGTGTTGGAGGTAGTTGCTATGCTGTTGGTGGATGATTACTAGGGTATTCTGGGTTTATTCAAACTCCTAAATCTTAAAAATGAGCAAGAGTAATAATGCTTGACTTAGCACATCCTTGTGCAAAGTTTGGCAAGTTCAGAATGGTATAAAATGATAATTAAACCACAAACTAAGTGTTAACAGTTATGGATAAACCAACTGAAACCACATGTACGCAAAAACCACACACTCCTGGTGGCCTTAGAAAAAAATGGATTGTGTTAAGCTGAAATATTTAGTTATAATTATTAGAAATTGAACAACTAAGCAACACAAGAAATAAGTCATTCTTGTTTCAGAGTAACAAAACGTTATAGTGCAACAGTAGGTATAGCTGCTTTATGAGAGGTCCAAAACACAATCAAATGTACTCTAGGTAAAAAAAAAAAAAAAGGCTTTAAATCGAAGGTCTTGATGTGTGTATGCCACAACTGCATCAGTGCAGGTTATGTTGTGGGGAAAGTCCTTATATAGAGATGGTTTGGCTGTGTATTATGCTAATATTTCACCGTTGACATGCGCTTCCTCATTTAGGAATGAGCACCTGTTGAGAATCTGTACGAAATTCAGTGTGAGAACATTTTTACATTTTTCAAGTAAGAACACTTGTTCACAATTATTGGCAAAAGACACCCAGTGTTTAAAAGCTGAGAACTGAACGTAGACAGCAGTTTCAACTGAAAATGATTATAATGCTTTCGCTGCAGGAGTCAATCTGATGGGAATGTGTCTGCTGGATAGCATCTTTAACAATTGTTTATCTGTATAAAGGCTGAATATAAATCATAAACACAATCAGACTGCAGTCTGAGGATATAATTCAAACTAGGCTTTTGACCGTAAGCCAGAGGCAAAGGAGAAGACAACATAAGGATGTTTTTTTCTAACAGAGCAATTCTCTCATTTATGGTTAGGATGAGGTGCTGGGAGGGTCTGAAAACTGTCTGTCCAAACTCTTATATATTTTGGCTTTGTCCTCGGTGTTTCATGTCGCCCACAACATGCTGTGCCTCTGCCTCACTGGCCATTTAAATAGAGAGGGATGTGGTTGGAGAAGAAAAAAAGAGGAGATTTGTCTTTCCAAGAGAGAAACAAGAAAGCTAAGAAAAGAAGTTAGTTGCTTATAAAGTGAGTAGCTGTACAGTTTTCACTTCAAAGTGCCAGAGTGAGAGAAGAGACTCACCCATCTGCTCCACTATGTCTGGAGGAAAGACTCGCGAGGCGAAGGCCCGGCGGAAGATGTCTGAGAACTCCTTGTCCAGGCCTCCGATGCCCATTCGCTCAAAGTTCCAGTCTGGGTTGATGATGGACTGCCGAGAACCTCTGGTCTTTGCTTTTCCTGGAGAAAAATGACCAAAAACAGACCCCTGAGGAACACTAAAGAAATTACATATTTATATTTAATTTTTCAAGGTTATACCACATGTCAAATATTCAGTTATGTATAAAACATTTGAGTAGAGGTGACACTTAAGTGAGGTAGCTGAAGTCAAACCACATGTGTTCTGACTGCCATCTAGTGGTGCAGTTTGGTTGTTACACTATTTGAAGCATTTGAATTGAATTGAAGCGAAGCCACTGATTGAGCCACTGGATATAACTGAAATATAACTGAAATAAAAGTTTATGGATTAATCTGTTACACACACGCTTTAACTTTTGTTCGCAAAATGTGTTTTTCATTTCCTATCACTCAATCTAGTTTAAAGCCCCGTTCACACCAAGAACGATAACTATAAAGATAACTATAACGATATCGTCTGTGTATTCTAAGCGCACACGCGTCTGCCGCTTTAAATTCTTGAGCTAGTTACAGCAGGATGGATTTTGATTGGCTGTCAATGTTTCTATCGTTCATCATCTGGAAAAAATCGTTCTGAAAATGATTCCAAAGATATCGTTTCTCTGTGCCTTTATCGTTATAGTTGTAGTGTGAACTCTGCTATTCTTTAATATTGAGAACGATTTTTATAACTATATCTTTATCGTTATCTTTATAGTTATCGTGCTTGGTGTGAACGGGCCTTAACACCATGAGATGTGTACTGTCAAATATTAATTACAAATTTGAAAATCTAGTATGTGATTAAGAATGAATTGCCAATACAGGATGCTTTCCATTTATTAGCTCCATCTATTACTGTCAGCAGCATAAAAAAAAAAGAATGTAATCAAGTTCAACCTCAAGTTGTTCCAAAAATGTAACAAATATATCAATGGGAAAGAAAACCTATGTTTTGAGGGATAAATATAAGATTTGTGGCAAACTTTTAAACTGTTCTTAAAACACTGTGGAGTTGCTGAGGTGCAAAGACTAAAAATAGAGGTGGTGGTGAATGTTAATGTAAAGTAATGAAAAGTTTTTTCTTTCGGTTACATGGAAATGAATGTGTGCAGTTAAAATGTTAACTGACTTAACCCATTTTGTAATTCTAATCATTCTAAACAAGAATAAATGGTATATTTGTAAAAAATAAAAAATAAAAATGAAAAAACATTCCAGTGATGATTGAACAAAGTGCTAACACAAAGTCCTGCAAGTAAAAGCATGTGACATGTTTCACCCCAACTCACAAGAATTAGTGACATATCAAGTTAGCAGCGACTAATGATAAAGACTATTTATAAGCAGCAGCTGACAATATTGGATTAACCATGACAGGTCCTTAGGTTAATAAGTCTAGACTAAACACTGAACTAAATACTGTAGGTACCGTATTAGAAAGTATTCTGAAGACTCATACACATATTGCATATGTCAGAGCCACAATGGTGGTGTGTGTTTACAAGTTAAACACTAACCAATCAAATTTAGAGACGAGCTCTCCGATTTCTCAAAAATCACCTGACTGTTGCCATGCAACAGTCCAATCTCAATCTGAAAAGACAAATAGAGACAAACCATATTAAAGCCATATCTCTTTTAACACATGAATAGGTATGGTTTGATAGTAAGCAATAAAAAGCTACCTTCCGTTTTTTGCTAGAGCTTTGCTCGCCTCTAAGGATGCTGGGATCCATGGCCTCGATATCTTTTATGAGCAGTACAAAGAGCTTATCACAGTAGCTGAAGACAAACTGCCAGGAAGACAATACAGGTTTAACTATACTTCATTAAGTTTGGGTATGACATTCATTTCGTAAGCGCTTTGCTGGCTCACCTGCTGGCCTATGCTAAAGGCCTGTGCAGAAAAAAACTGGATAAACTCAATCGCCATTTTATCAGAGTCGTATGGGTTGCTGTCAACACTCTTCTTCTGGAGGAAGTCGATCTCTAGCGTCATGGTTCCCACGTACTGTCTCGACGGGTCAAAGTTGTAGACACTCACTGCAAACAAGACACCAGAGGGAAGCGTACAATAAGAAAATTGTCACTGTTGAAATATACTATAGTTGTTAGTCAGGGTAGACAACATATTTAATATGATGTGAATGAAAACAAGACTTGGTGTGAAATGTGTCTTTCCAAAACAATTTAATAGGACAAAATCTGAAACTTGCAACAATACTACTCCAAAGAAATGTCAACTTACACTACTGTTCAAACGTTTGGCATCAGAAAAATTGTTGTTGTCTAATACTTCTATTCTTCTATCACCAAAGACACAAACAAATTCAAATACATTTTTGAACTTTCCATTCATCAAAGAATCCTGAAATATACCACGATTTCCACAAAAATATTAAGCAAAGCAACTGTTTCAACATTAATAATGAGAAGGAATTCTTCCTGAAAACCAAATCGGCATATCAGAATGATTTCTGAAGGATCATGTCATACTAATGGCTGCTGAAAATTCAGCTTTGCAGTCAGAAATAAATTATATACTAATTACTAATTATTAATATATATCAAATTAGTAAACAGTCATTTAAAAATGTAATTTATTTATATTTTTAAAATATTACTTTTTAATATATTTATAATAAATGCAGCTGTGGTGAGCACAAGAGAACAAAATTCTTTCCAACCCCAAACTTTTAAATAGGGTACATGCATTTTTTTGCGAACTTATCTACATTTGCATATTTCTTGGGGTGACTTAAATATTCATTAAAGTCTCCACATTTTTAAGCAAAATTAATTGACAATGGTTTCAAATGAAAACTGATTTTTCAGAAATTAAATTCTTGACTAACTGGCTAAAAAAATTTCAAAAAAGTAATTATTTTTCACTAGTTCCATCTATTGTTCTTCCATCTCTCCAACCCGACCAAAGTGTTATCACACAACATAATAATCAATAAACACACAGCAAATGCAGGGAACAAACTAACTAACTAAGTTATTCCACTATTAGTCTGCAGCCAATCAAATTAGTTTTTATGTGAAACGGTACACATACCTTCCACATCCTGGTTTAGAGAGAGTCCAGCCCATTTCCTCTATGACACAGAGCATATCAATGAATTTCTATTATCTTGCATTTAGTATATTACAGGCCACACAATTATCATAAAGTTATTATTTGTAAGATCCTACTGCTAAAAGCAATGCAATATATTTGTACAACTTTCTCTTGATAGATGGTCTTACTGTAAAGCACACTAATAACGAAATGTGTACCAAAGTAGTGTCTCTAGTAGTGTTTCATTTCTTGGTCTCATGTTGATAAAATATCACATCATGCCAAAAATAAGACCACTGTGAGAAAGTTACTATAGTACCTGAGAAGTCTTTCTGCTGTCATGTTAACAGATGAAGGAGAAGCAGGCAAAAACAATGCAAGACATTAAGAAATAAGCATGCTGACAACAACAACAGTACATCTTGCATCAGCATACTAATGCAGTTCACAAGGCAGACGGCAAAAAGGTGGTTACATAAAGACATATTCAGAGAATACTGTGTGTCATGGGACGTTAGAAAAGCCTGTTTAATGATGACACAAAACGTGTACCTGAGGTAGACTGAAGGCAATAGTTCCTGGCACCACGCTTGAGTGGGTTTTCACCGTGAACACAAACTTCTGAGTGGGTGTGGTTTTAATGCTCAATTGTCTATAAATAACAAAATAAAAAACAAGAAAGAAAAGAAAATGATTTGACATTTGCGTTCAGACAGTATGTTTAAATATAATAACATCTCTCGTTTCTGATTCAGTATACATCAAATACTCACTGCCCAGATTTAAAGTCCTTCTCACTTGCAACCACACAGTTTGTGAGAGACAGTTCATCTGTCGGGCATCTCGCTGCTTGCATCAGCTGTACAGGAAAGAAGAAAAAAGCAAGAAAAGCACAGAAGTGATACCAAAATCATAAACGCTGAAATTTTAGCCTGGATATACAATACTAGTCAAGAGCTCAAACACAATTAATCATTTTCAATTATTATTTTCCAGAAGCCACATTTGTCTAGATCAGGGGTCTTTAAAAAATTTTAGGCCAAGGACCCCCCTCTCCCTCTCTCTCTAAATATATATATATATATATATATATATATATATACATATATATACAC